AAATCTTTTCTATACACATATTACACAATTTCTCCCGCCATCCAATCCCATCACCCTCATTGGTAAGGTTTGTCCTCCGAGTCTGAGACAATGTCTCGTGAAACAATTCCATTTTGGAGGTTTATTAAGGAATCTTTCATCTGGGGAGGGAAACAAAGCATCAGTGATTAGACAAAAGAGCACAAAAAAAAAAGGTCACAAGATCACTACGCGTGTGTGTGTGTGAGTACAGGGGCCACAATGATTCAAAGGCTGGCACTTCCTTCTTATTATCTTTTATTGAAGATAAAATAAAAAGATAAGCCTCGCTTTCCCGTACGTATAACAAAGGCTGCAATTGTCTGAAACACGTGAGCAGGGCTAATATCCTTTAATCTGTGATCTACTTTATGATAATGAGGAGAAATGCAAGTTCTGGTCTTTAAACGGTGAAGAACATGGACATAAGGAGGTCTGGCACTTGCAACTTAGGCCAAGCATTACCGTGCACTAGACAGTTTATGGGGCCCCTTCATTTTATTTCCTAGTAAGCAATAAACCAAGTTTGAAGGATACAAGTGCGAATTACTGCTTGAGAACATCAGGAAACAATTCCATGTCACCACTAGGTGGCACTGGTCTAACGCAGGCTGTGCATTATACAGCACAAGGTTCTCGTGTGATAAAATGTTGTAATATATGTAGATAAACACCTCGCTGTGCAATATACGTGAATGAATATTAATAGGAAATATTATGAAAAGAAATTAATGTAAAAGGTTGGGAAAAAAAAACTCATCCAAACTAATCTAGTCAACTATAAGTCTATGATCTGTTACTGCAGTGTTTTTCAACCTTTTTTGTGCAAAGGCACACTTTTTTCATGAAAAAAATCACGAGGCACACCACCATTAGAAGAAGCAGCATGTTACGGATGAAATTGAAATTTTTCCCACGGCACACCAGACAATATCTCACGGCACACTAGTGTGCCGCGGCACAGTGGTTGAAAAACGCTGTGTTACTGAATAATATGTAAGCAAATGTGCCCCTCTGAAGCTATTGCTTTATATACCTGATCCAGCAGCATGACAGATGACTTTACAATCTGCCTCCATTTTTGTAGCTCTGTGTCGTGGTGTTTTTGCTGAGACTCCAGCAGCTGGGTCCACTCGGCCTGTGACTGCGGGAGGGGGCTGCAAACATACAGACAATACACTTAGCACCACCCAGACATTGCTCAGGGATTGTGTTCAGTTTTATTCATTGCCTTTACCTCTCTTGTAGTCGCAGTCCTTGCCACGTGCTCAGGGCTTGAGTGCTATATTCCAACATCCAGAGCTTGTAGAAAAGCATTACATTGAGCATGACGAGCAGCACCAGGCTGTAGAAGCAGAACAAACAATGTGAGGTATGAGGTGGTAGACTAGACCTGGAATAACTTTACTACAGAATGTTACGGATGTCACAGGATGAACACCATCAACATAACCCAATTAAATATTAACATGGCTGCATCTTCATACAAACAGCTCCCAAAGGGATCTCTCCCCTTTAGACAACGAAAAGAAAAAAAAGAAAAAATTGGACCAGCCCTGTCATGTGCTCCTCCATACCCACATGTACTGGGTATTTTCAGCCACTTGCACCGATCTGAGCAGCAGGCAAACAATACATAGGTGGGTATGTAGTGCTCGGAAACGGGGATTAACGCAAACATGTTGCTTTGCTCTCATTGGACAAATAGCATGATCACCTTTTTTGTGCCTGTGATATTAAATATTGGCCAATTACCACCTATAGTGCTACATGGTACCACCTTTGGAAATGGAAATACAAACACTTGTAATATTCTGCCTTGTTATTTTTGTTTTATGGTATTGGGGGAAAAAATATAAGGTGAAGTGATAGATGAACAAAGGTGGTGTAATACTCATATGGATCAACAGAGGGCACTAGATCACAAGGGGAAGGGTGCAGTGTGCTTGAAGCAGAACACCATTCAATCATATAAATACTGTTTAAATACAAATTTGCTATTTACCTGCCCAAGAATTTGTCATTCTGTACAGCTAGACTTGTGATTTATACACCTCCCACATGTCACAGCCAGGTGGCTGACATTCATTTCTGTGCATAGAAATATGGCTTCCTACGGCAACTCTTCCCCAACTCTAGCCTGCTCCCTGGACAATGAATCAGCATCATCACCTTTCAATGAACAGTCGGGTTATATAGGCAATAGAAAAGCTGAATCAATAGAAAAGCTGTGGCAGAGCAATCTTTTTTGACTGTTAGGCGAGTATCAAGAGTTGCTGAATAAAATTACAAATCCTTTGGCAGATAACACTGTTTGTTTACATCCAGGGGTGCGAGTCTTAACTGTCCTGGCCACATATACCACATTAGTGACCCTTAAACTTGTATAGGGCGTTGTCCCAAGGCTGGAGATGATCGAAGATGGTCCTTTTGAAGTCTATGAGGCTGTAATGTGCAGGGGTGGGCAGGACAGTGAAGACTTAGCCGTCCAAACCTGCAAATTACAAGCCCATAGCCATAACCTGTCAGGGGTTATACCTTTCCCTTACTCTGTCCAAAACATAAAAAGTTTTGGTTACACATAAGGAGCTGCATCCTGTTTTGTAATCTGAGGTCAGGATAAAAAAAAAAAAAAAAAAAAGTGAACTACTGAAATCACACCTGATCTGACAACCTTATACACAGCCCCAATCACATAGAGAGTGTCAGCGATTACAGACCCTGCAAGTTATTTACACCAGGACTGAGCCAAACGCTTTACATTTGCATTCCACTCCATATCCAAAGATATGGTGTAATCACCAGGAGGAATGCCCAATGTCCTAAGTTACCCATCTATCTGGACAACAAAAGGTGTCCACACTAACAACAGAAGCCGGAAACCAGCTCATGAATGAATTTCCCATTATTCACATGTGGAAACTTGTTACAGGGACACATATTCTGAATACAGCATATGTATCAGCAGTTCTCAGCTTCATCTGTAAAAGTACTTAAGGAATCTTCCAAACGCTATCACTAACACAATATAGTTTAGCTGATAAAAGCTCTAAGTAGGGATGCACCGATACAGATACTAGTATCCGTGCCGATGCCGAGAATTTAGGCGAGTACTCGCCCAAATTCTCTGATGCCTAGCACGATACTTCTGGTATCAGGAAGCCAGGCACCGCATCATTACACGCTGCTCAGCTTCCTGATTGGCCGGGTGCCGGCTCCATGCTCTCTCGTCACCTAGTGAATCAATAGATACTGAAATACCGGTATCAGTGCATCCCTAGTTCTAAGCCTAAATATCAGTAGGGAATGTCGCATGTATAAAGCTAGTATTACTAATTGGATAGTATACATTCAAGTAGTGAATACTGCTAAATCCCTACAGACCCCACCACAATGACACACATATCATACAGTGACGTACACACAACTGATGACCAGCAGGAGTTTGGAGATGCTCTGAAGCTGATTATGCTTCTCCTCCGGAACGTGTCGTGTCTGAGTGGAGCCTAAAAGGATATAAAAAAATAAAAAGTATCACCACACACAGAAGTTAGAAATGAGCACCCTTTCAGTGATAAACTGACCCATTACAAGGTGTTACTTTGCAAATATCTATTAAAAAGTAACATGTAATAAAGTTACAAAATACAGCACCAAAAATCAGATGTACTCTATCTGTATGTGCTCTGACAAGTGCTTCTGTCTAGGATCTATTCCTAACAATTGCACTGCTGGAATCATCGCCTACTGGTTAGATGAGCCAACCTTGACTGCACTGACCTTTCATCTCTATACCTGTCCCATCCACTCATTGTGATCTGATTAGAGATCCTTTATTTAACAGCTTCATATCATAAAAACAGAACACATTGAGAGGAACATACGAAGACTGGAGCAGATGGAATCTGGGGCTGTTGTGCATGGCAATCAAATCCAGTGCCATTTTATTTGTTCAAAAATTATTTATTTGAATTATTGGAATACACAATATGCAAATAAAAAGTTTAAAACAAAAAAAAAGTTTTGGTAGGAATTGAGCTTTAGATAGGAGTTGGACAGCAGATTTTGTACCCGACATCTCCATTCAGTCAGCCAAATACCAATAGTTTTCCCTCAGTCTGGTCTTTATAAACAAGGTCTTATCTTACAATCCATACACAAGCTGTTGACACATCACATGGTGCACGTCCATGCTAGATAATCATGTTTTATAGATCCTTAATGTCACACTGAGTACCAGTCATCTGACTCCTAACAAGATTATCTCTGCATTTCTACCATTCCTTTTTAGATTTGATTAACCCCTTCGTGACGGGAGACGTACAGTGTACGTCTTGTCACTTTGATCAGAGGAGGCGCCGAAGAGTAACCGCCGACACAGACAACTTGGAAACCAATGGTGCCGCATCCAAGGCCGAATTACACAGGTATTGCAGACCCTGCACCACCTGTTCCGTAAGGTCGACATAAGCAGGAGACACGTTTTCTTCTGACTCAAAAGGGAGGGAAATCCCCTCCTAAACAGTTGTCCCCATTGAAAGACTTTCCTTCCATTCCTGTTCTGGTGGCAACTCCCTTACTTCTAGTGCCAATGACGATGATCTTTAGGACAGATAAAGAGACTGCATTTTTCTATAAATAAAAACCTGAGAATTCTAATTCTTGCTACTCTATCCAATACTAATATAACATTTTGGTTTTAGGTAGACTTTATTGTTCTTTGTGTGGCATATCTGTAAGGAGCAGATCTGTTTTTCTGGGACATATCAGAAGCAGGTGATAAGACAGCATGTTAAATCTCTGTTGAGATTTTCTGGGTGCACCTTCTATGTTAGATGCCTGGTCCCCCATAGTGCATCCTGGCTCCTCCCGCTGGCTGCTACATCCTTATACAACACAATAGTGATGTAACATTTAGCAGGCGGAACGGGGTATCCGGCACACCCGGAAGTGTCACATAGAACGGTGCCCGGGGTTCTTCAACAGAGAAAGGATTTAACACACTGCCATCTCTTCCTCCATCTGTTGCCTTGAATAGCCCTCACTATAGAGACAGTGTCACTTTAGTTGCAGCAAACCTTATCATAGCGATTAGTGGCAATCGCTATGTGTGTGTACGTGTGTGTGTGTGTGTGGGCATACGAGTCCTGTTCAAATTGCAACTCTATCTGATCTCATTTTGATCTGATCAAGAAAATTATTTATAGCACCAAAGACAAACATAACGGGAACATCTGTTAGGAGGGAAGAGGATAGGGTATTCTTTTCAGGAAATGATTTGCCTGATTTGTCAAAGTTCATTCTGTATTGTCCCAGAGGAACAGAGCCAACAAACCATTCTTCAACTGTCACTTTTCAGTAACAGTTTCAATCCGACTGACAGCTACACAGGCAATTTATACATCGTGGTCAGGTGATTTGCAAAAGATTTTTACGCCAAGTCCCTGTGGAAAGCAGAAAAGTTCAATATAAAAGGCTATTCCATCTGACCTGCTACATGTCTGACACGGTGTTGTCTCTCTTCATCAGTGGGCGTTGTGACAGGGCTCAGCACTTCCTGTAGATGAGGAATCCGTAAGTGAGTATGAGGACGCTTCCTTCTTCTCGTTGTTGAAATCTTGGTGATTTTCTCCTTCGGGGATTGTCTGTGAAGATCGGACAGGTACGCCGTCTCTGCTTTGGTCAGTTCGTTCTCTGGAAACACAAAGTGGCAGAATGTTTATAGTCCAGATGAAGTCCTGCACCTTTTTATCTCTTTATAGTCCCGTACCCCTCGCATGTTATTTGTAATTATGTGCTTGGAATGCTTTAAAAAAATATTCTCACTGCAAATAATTTTTTCTGCTCTCCCACTACAGTGGTTTGTGCTGGCGGAGCTGTTTATCAGCCACATCCCTCAGTACAAGCATCCTCACACAGATATGAATTGCAGAGGAAGAGAAAACCTAGGAGACCACTGGGTCTTTTCTGCACAGGAAGAGACTAGCTGAAGGGCGAGGTCTAGGATCCAGCCGTGATTTGGGCGAGTATTACTCTATTATTTTAGCTCTGTGGACAAAATTAGCATTTAATCCTTGCAGTGCAGCGGTTAAGATTTTATTTGCCTGAAGTCCTTCTTTAAATGAAACCCCACAAACAGGAAGTGTTACCTTAAAAGATGGCTGCTACTTTCTGTAACTGAATGAAGATTATGTAGTCTGTTAAGTTGCAAACAGTACTTAGCAGAGTTTGCCTTTAACAACACAAAATTTACGCCAGAGAGCAGCGAAAGCGTTACTAACCCAAATGGTGGAAATATTCATCAAGTCCACTCCAGAAATTTTTCTCAATGAATGTTTTAACGAGTCCCCACGGCTGCTTACGGTACCGGAGCTCAGTTGAAATCCTATGAATGAGAATTCAATGGTTATACAATTGACCTGCAAGCACATCTAGCCAGGTGCTCTTGTCATTTGGCTTCCCTGCAGCTTTGATGTACCTTAGCCGGCTTTTGTTTCGGGCCACTCTGGTCAGCGTGTAGCGGTTGATAGTGTAGAAGTAATCATGATAAGGGATATCGTGTGTCAACACTTCAGCATCAACTACATAACATTCGCTCTCCTGGCTGGCCTTGTACAGCGTCTGGAAGACAGATAAAGTCACACTGAAACACAAGACTTCACTTACCAGGAGGAAATATCAACTCGAGGGTGAGAGGGAGGTCATTGCTAGAGCTGTTTAATGTGTTACACCAGAGGTCACCTACCTGGGTCTCCGTGACTGTCGCCGATTTAGGAGCCAGAGGATTGGTTAGTGCAATGGTGTATAAAATAACCCGGGTCTGGTTTCCATTCTCTTCCTTCTTCCACGGGTGAAATATCACTTCTGTGAGCACAAAGAGATAGAATAAGTGACCCCCTTCGCACTAAGGGCATACAGGGAGATTGGTGACTCGGCACTAGCTTACAGTGTATCTCTGGGCAAAATTACAAATGTGCTGCAAGTACAGAAAAATATGTAAACACCCTGCCAGAAGTTCAACATGCTCATAACATCCTGCTGCACTAAATTCCAGGTAGTGTCATCAGCCCTGCCACGTTCAAAACACCTAACTCTTTTATTATATGAAATAAGAAGAGGGGGTGTCCTGTAGTCCAGCAGGGGAGAAATGGACAGGGCTGACAACATTGCTTGAGATTTTAGTACAGCAGATGGAGGCATTGACAGCTTACTACATGACGTTAGGGGTGCGCTGCATATCTAGCAGGATCACCAGGCATCTTTCTGTACTTGTAGCATTTTGATATATTGCAGAGGTGTACTGAATATATGTTTTTATTTAGCCCAGACATAAACATTAAATAGGAATGCAATACTACGGGATATCTACAAAAATGATTTCACCTGTAAACCGCCTCAGCTCCATGAAGTCCCTCAGAAATTGAGATTCACTGAACAGGAGACTAAAGAGTTTGTCCACATTAAAGCTGAACACTTCATTGATGTACTGCCGACCATTCAGATCCTCATAGAAAGCCTGAACTTCACCTGCACGATGAATGAGACGTCATCTTTAAAACTGGGTATCTAAATCACCACCATATGCCTTTCCATTCATGTGTGTACTCGCTGACTGTTGCTCTTCCCCAACATTAATCACCAATTTATATTGTTACTAAAGGACTACGTATCCCCTTCCATGTACATCATACTGTATGTCCTATTTATGTATGTAACAACCAACATCCCTCTTCCTAGCTGTCACATGTAATACAAGCAGTCCAATCCATGTTTCTGCTGTAGAAATATGATATATATTATCACATTATACAGGCTGTGCATTCACCTTCATCGTGTGTTTCAGATGAATCACTGAGCTCTGTGGGAAGGTCTTCATTATCATTTAAGTCCAAGGATAGAGAGGTGACGGGAGGAAGGAGCTCCACTTTCTGGTCCACCAAGCTTGCAAACAACAGCTCCCTTTCTAACGAGCTGTCAATATCGTCCAGCAAAGCCCCGTCATACTACAGAGGAACAAGGAGAACAACACAATCAAATTGGAATGTGGAATTCCTATACTAAAACCTCAACATCCTGTCACAGTGTGTTTACTGCCATTTTTCTTTTTATTATCTTATCATTGGAGGATATGCTGAGAAGACGAGAGCTTTTGTAAAGTTAGCATTGCGGAGATTAGTAACGGAATCCGATTAGTTCAGCGGTCACACTCACATTTCTTCACTGACCAACTCGACCGTGTCTGTCGGGTTAGCAAGCACCCCCCCTAAAAATGCCTAGATGACTCAGAATCCTGATGTGCTATATCAGTCAACATCTGCAGCTGGGTTGTGCAATGCAACATCTGGATAATGTAACCCATGTGCAAGTCCTTTCCTAATTCCAAGAATGAACACAGATTTCACAACAGATAGCAAATAAAAAAAAAAGTGACTGCAGCCATGCAATAGAGTAGCAGACCAAGGTGACAAACCCAGCAAAATGACTGCAAAAGGAAACCTGCTTTTATAGCTTCCAAGCTGGAGCATCCAAAATAAAACAAATCATACTAAACTGTATTTTGGATTTTAAAATGAATCTTTTTTTTTTTTTCCTGTTATTTATTGGGGACATATCATTTCTTATAGAGATGTATATAACAAGTCTCAAAATAGCTGGAGAGTTTAAAAACAGGCAGGAAAGTCACTTAGACAACTGCAGAAGAGCCCCAACTAAGGCCCCATTCACACTGAGCGATTTATCGCACGGTAATTCCCGCGATATCGCAGCTATTTACCGCACGATATCGCTCTCCAATGCATGGCAATGGGGCTCTGTCCGTCGCTGTCGCGCGTCGCTACAGCAGGACCCTTTTTGGAGCGGATTTTGCCGCGATTCTAGCTTGCTCATTGCAAGCATTTGCGCGATTTGCGAATCGCTCAGTGTGAATGGGGCCTAAATGTGTTTTGGCGGAGATGGATGTGGAAAAACTATGCAAACTAGAAGGTAGAGAGGAGGTGGTTCAACTAAGAAAGTAGGATGGGACCCAAACTTACACCATTCAGAGAGGCACTATGACAATAAGTGCCAAGACAGTAATCGGAAAGCCAAGCAAGACAGGCCTATAGAAAACCTGACCTCCAGATATTTTGGGGGCTGAAAATGAACCACTGTAACTGTAGGTTTGCTTTGTTGCAAGATGGCCAGACACACCTCATAGCTATAAGATGGCGAGGATCTGGTCCAAGAACTAGGTTTATACAGCATATGTGAAACACAATTACTTCAAAACAGAAACCCCGGGACGCCAGTGGAAAAACGCCTGCCGTGGAAATCTTACGAGTTTCTCACTGTTGATAACACTGCGTCGTTGAAGCAGAGATAAGCTCAGTGCCAATTTCTAAAATTAGGATTTCCATGTGCGATCAAAGCTAATCAGCTGTTTCAGCGATTTTCAATTATCAGATCATTTTCAGATGCTGGGAGTAAAAGCGCCTCCCTGCCAGTGTCTGTAAACCACGATGAGAGAATAGTACTTACACCAGGGGCATCGCTGCTGGCTGTAGATGGCACGTTGCTGCTCGTCAGGGAAGGGTCCGCCAGGTTGCAGTTGGTTTCTGGCTTAATGTCACCGCTGCTTTTGGAGGAATTATCATTTACTTCCACGTCTTCCACCGGGATCTCTTCACAATAACTGCAAACAAATACCATATAAACCAACCCGCTGAAAAGAATGACTTCTGTTATCTGACGGTTGTTTCGTTTATTCCATAAGGCAAATAGCAAGCTGCAAAGTGAAGTAACCAATAGCAACCAAGGAGTAATCACTTTTAATAAGTCAGGTTGCAGTAAAAGGGATATCTGACTGGTTGCAATGCGTTATACACTGCAGTGAGTGATTGTATCCAAATTAACATCTAAGACTGGCCATACACCCATCAATTTTTTTCGTTCAACCCACGGGCTGAACGAAAAAAAAATTTACACGATTCCTCCATCAACACAAGCAGCGTGTCGATCGATGAATCGCCTCTGTTTGCATTATATTCTGAAAGGTGACACCAACCAGTCAGAATACCCGATCAGATCGGGCAGCTCCTTGCCTGCCGGCTCTAATCGTACGAAGATTTTCCAGCCGGCTCCTTCCATCAGCTGATCGAGGAATGCCAGCTGAAAGGGAGCCAACAGCCCCACATACTGTGCGAATATCGGCCGGTACATTAAAAACCGGACGAAATTCGGCCAGTGTATGGGCACCTTTAGACTAGATAGCCCAAAGTTTCAGGACACCCAACCATCACACCTATACAAGCTTGTTACATATCTCATTGCAAAACCATGGCCATTAACATGGACTTGGTCCCCTTTTGCAACTATAACAGCCTCCATTCCTCTGGGAAGGTTTTCCACGAGAAAACTGTTGGCACAAGTTTGGTCTAAATGTCCATGCATGCTATAGCATTAACAATAACCTTGCTTGGCTATGTGCTTGATTTTATGCAACTGGTAACAAATGGTGAGGGGAAATAAAATAATTTGGAGAGTTGTCCACATACTTTTGGCCTAATAGGGTACATTTAAGAATTCAATAAGTCATCCATTCGATTTCTGTCTTACCCCAATGTATTAAAGTCATCATCTGGTGGAACATAGTCCTCGTCATCACTAGTAAGGCCCAGCTCATTGCCGTAGCACTGGTGGACAAAATGCCACAGTTCCTTCGGACACAAAGGCTGCAGAGAACAAGGATGGTTAATACAGATGGACATCGAGAAGAAGGTTACTGAACAGAACTGAATGTCAAGAAGGTTAGCACCTTGAAATGGAGAAGGCAGTTAGCTGACAGAAATGAACATGGAGAAGGAGGTTAGCTGACAGAAATGAACATGGAGAAGGAGGTTAGCTGACAGAAATGAACATGGAGAAGGAGGTTAGCTGACAGAAATGAACATGGAGAAGGAGGTTAGCTGACAGAAATTAACATGGAGAAGGAGGTTAGCTGACAGAAATGGAGGTTAAGAAGGTTAGCGGATAAAAATGGATGGCAAGAAGGAGAGCAGACAGAAATGGACATTAAGTAGAAGGTTAGCGGACACAGGACAGTGAGAAAATGTAAAGAAACAAAATAAAATTAACAAATAGAAAAATACATTTATAATAAGGTTAGAGAACAGAAACATTGAGAAGAAGGTGAGCAGACAGAGACAAGGAAGGACAGAGGTGCCACAAGTGTTACAAGACAATGTGCTACCTTTTCAAGCAAGGCATTCTGCCACAGCCGGAACATCATCATGTAGGTTCGATCTCGTGCCCCAAATGAGGTGAAAAAGTGCTGTGAAAAGAAGGTTGTGTATAAAGATCATATTAAACATTCTTCCTAACCAGGACTGTTCAGCTTGTAGATAACCCTTCAATTCCAATACCATTCTGCGCAAAGACTGAGAAATAAACATACAGCCACTTGGTATTCTTACCTTCTCAGTGTCAGTGCAAAGTTGGATTGCATTTGGAATTAGTCTGGCTGTCTTTTCTTTAGTCATTGAGCAGATATCTTTCAAACGTACCGTTAACTAGGAGACACAAAAATACCAGTTTACTTGTAGATAGAGCAAAGCACGGAGGAAAAATGACTGACAATCCTCACCAAATAACTAAAAAAACATTCTTTTCTAGAGAGTCAAATTAGAAGCATTTTATCTACACAGACTGTGTGGCTCATGAGGTCAGTTCCATTATAACCGGGATGTATTCCTAAACAGCTACCGGTATGATCAACAACAGACATTATTACAAGTAGATCCTGAGAGGTAAAGGGGGTTATAGACAAACAAAATTCATCAACAAGAAAGAAGGGAATGAAAAGGAGCACCCCATCACTGCCAGAATCGGCACACTCTTGGGCCAGATCTTTCCACACGCTGGATGTACACACAAGAAGGTGCCCCCAATTACTTCACAGAAGAGGGAACATCACAGTCTGGCCACACAGATATTTTACAATAAGTTAGGAAATGGGCATATGGTGTAATAAGCATTCCATCTCTCAGAACGCTTCTGGTTAAAGTACTGTATATCTAAAGCCAAAACTTTTTGTTTTGCTTTTGAATAGAGTGGTGAGGGGTTAGCAGCCCTGCCAAATTGACCCTCTCAGGTTGACCTTCCAGCCCTTGTTCCTGGCACTGAAAGTGAGGGAAAATCCAAAATATTAGGCTGTCACAGGAAAAGGTATAAAAAGGGGAAAGCTTTCCATGGGACACTTGTTGCAATGACAACCAAGAGGGTATTTTCCCAACTTTGGTGAGATTTTCTCTCACTTCTTGTTGTGTCTACAGGACGGGAAGTGGTTGGAAATCTCGCCAATGGAATACAGATGCCAAAATAACCTGATATTGGTTTTAAGAAGACAGAAAGCTAGTTCACTGCAAGTTGAAGCATTTAAGTTGCGTTTTCAATAATCACTGCTTAAATTTTTTTTTAAATAAATGTTTCCGTTCACTTCCTTTTTTTCAGAAAAAAAAGATAGACAGATGAGCATCTTCCATTTGAACATTTATGGGGGACCAGCAATCAAGGCTTGGGGCGGGGGGACTTGTCCAATCCCTTCTCCACAACAAGCTGGTGTCAGAGGCTCCTGCATTGGGCCACCGTGCTCCTCTCAAATGTTTTGGGAAACAACAGGCTGCCCAAAGCCTAAAGGTAATGCATGCATTTCCCACATCTCTGTAACGGCCTATTCACTAAACGTTACCTAAGGATTCACACAGAGAGAATCTTACTCACCAGAGTCTCCCAGCGAAAGATGTTACTGTAGAAGCAGATCCAGTTCTCAGACAGGTAGAGGCGCCCCTGTAGTAAGATGTCTCTTTGCAGAGCACACGAATAGTCTAAACACACACAGACACAAGTCAAGATTCCAAAAAAACGTAACTGTACCCTTATCTGTAACAGCAAGCGGTTCCAATATATTGTGATTTAATGAGTCTATGTTTTACCGAGTACAACTCAGTAAACTCAAATCTGATTGGTGCCACGGGTGACAATTCTTTCAAGATTCCATATTATTATTTAGCTCAGCTGAGATTCATTCTCTTTTGTTTATTTTTCTATCGGGAGGTGAGCAGATTGGATTCATACAGGGAAAAGGTGCTAGGATATTGCTCTGTAGGGGATAGGGAGGTTTTGGGTTGTCTATTAATAGAAACATGATACAGTTCTTTTCAAGCAATACAATTCCAGAATGGGATACAAGGTGGAATTCCCCTACTACAGAATCACCTACAAGGTGGAATAAGACATCAACAACCCACCGGCGTAGTCCCAGCATCAGTATTTACAATGTAGTTCCTATGTTATGCCACAATTCGGTTCCGGAACTGCGATCACAGCACACCCTGAACTGCTTGTTTCTGCTTTCTTACCAACAATGAGACGTTCTGTGTCTGGCAGTTGTTTAAAGAGTTTCCGAAAATCTTCATTTCTTTGTTTATACGTTGGACTCAAGACCTGGGAATACAAATGGAACACACCTAAGAGAAGGGGCCTGGGAGGCAGTACACAGGGGTGGAAGCGACAAGAAGACACAGATAACAAAGACTAAACACACATGACGTTATTTATTGAGTGGGAGCCAGAAACACCCAGAGACCATTCACTGTACTATCTATCATGTATAGAATATGTTGTGCCACAGAGTGAGGGACATGCACAGAGCCATGCAGGGGTTAACGTGTGCCCCCCATTATCTGGGCAGCGTGACCTCGTTATTAGGGCAATGTGACCGCTCTCTAATGATTGTGAAAGACATGAAGTGAAATTGCTGGCGGCTGGAACATGACGGAAGGAGGGAAGCTGGCAGCGCACAAGGCTTAATTTGTATAAATATCACTCATGATCCTACAATGCAGAGCCCTGTTGGAGGTTTTCAGTCATTTTCAGGACACTTCTACATCACGGAGGACCTGTCATGTCCCAACTGAGCAGAAAGATTGTATGCAGACACAACGTACCGTCTTTTAACATACCATTGTATTCACCCCCCTTATGTGAAACCACCCAGTGCTGCCACAGTCCCTGACTTAGCTGCTTTTGCCATGTGAATGTTGACTGTTCAGTGCAAATGTGCTTTCCTTAGAAGTAAAATACCGTAAAAGCCGAGCTCCAGGGAGATATAAAAATGCACTAATTAATGCAGTTCACTAATTATTAACACATTATTAAAAGCATTTTTTAAATGCAGGCAGTATAAGAAACTGAATGTGACTTGGTATTGGCACCTTGCAATCTCTCTACAGCAGCGCTCAGACTGGGAGAAAGAGAAGTAGCGCAATGAGCCAATCCTTTGTACTGCAATGGTCTCGTGATAACAAGGGTCTGCTGTTCGTACTTTTAGGCCTCATTTACACTGTGCTAACAGTAATGGAAGGACGTGACCATACGCCGTCATACACACCCCCGTACTGCACACCCCCGTACTGCACATACATGCGGGTCTGAGTGTCCGTACTCGGACGCAGAAAGGATGGATAAATAAATGGCAATATTTATAAATCAGCCCCATTCACACCCGCGTGATATGCCGCGCGTCTGTCATTGCTCTACAATGAAAATCACAATATCCTCTATGGTGCCTGTTCACACCCATACAACATGATGCAGAGTCCTTCTCAGAAAGGTTCCGGCCCTTCTTTTGGTGCTCCATGCATTTCAGCACAAGACAACAAACATTAGTAGCGGCCCCACTATCACATACACTATCACAAACACTATCACATACACTATCACAAAAACAATTAAGTCTTTTGAAATCCCTGGTGATCCTGCCATGAAGGTCCTTGTGCAGGCTCTTCCAGGGTGACAACGCTCTGTCCCCGTCTCCTCTGTATTATGCTCGTTATAAGGACAGGTTAATAACACAAACCAAAATCTCACTTTGGCCACCAATCAGAAGAATCAATACGAGTTACCTGCTAAGGCTGCTGTTAGTGTAAAGCCGTTGGGGGGGGGAATTTATCATAGCAATTGCGAGTGTTTCAACTTGCACGGAATATATTTGCGCCAGATTTATCAAGCTAGTGTACTGTTGTTGATAAATGAGGTTTAATAGACTCCAGGAAAGAAGACTTCTAACTCCGGCCAAAAAGCTTAACTGTCGTTTCTTAGAGAAGTGGTCATGGGGACTTAAGTTATGATTGTTTTCTTAGGTGATGCTCCAGTTTCAGACAGCCCAGAACAAGTGCAGATGAAAAAGTACTGCATGCTCTGGTCAAAACAGGGGCACATGTAAAAAGACAGATTTGCACATTCAAAAAAAAAAAGATTTAAGAGGCTAAAAGTGTCGCAATTGCTTTGATAAATCCCCACCAATGTGTTCTGCTTTAAGTCAATCACATTTGCATAAAAACGGACCTTTCCACCTACAGCGACCTTCCTTTCTATACTGGCCATATGGTAAACCTCATCCACTGACATACATTTACATACGAGCCCTAATCAGTTACATTATTACTGACCCGCTCTGTTTATTTTACTTGCCCCCTGTCTTAGGCCCCGTTCACACCAGGGCGGTTCGGCTACACAGATCCGCCGACATGAACGATCCCATACATTGCTATGGGGACCTTCATGCGACCGCGCGGCTCGGTGCGATCCGAACTGCTTCCTGCACTATTTTTGCCGTGCTGATCAGTGCGGTTTCCATACAGCTTTTAATGGAACCGCTTTGATCAGCACGGTTCTGGTCGTTTTTAATTGCATTCCAGCGCTGAAATGCAATTAAAAACTCCCAAAACCTCCCATGTTGAAATCAGCGCGGTAGCTGCGCTGATCCGCAACCGCCCTGGTGTGAATGGGCTCTTATACACGGGTGGGCAATTGAATATGGAATTCAGGAGCCAGCTACATTGACAAGAGCCCCCGAACCCTATCTCTAATTGACTAGAGAAAACCTCAAAAGTTGGGCGCCAGATGTAATATAGAAGGAGCATTGGAGACCTGGCTCCTGAGATTTGCCCAGAAACATGTTGGGAATTAGCATTATTCCTGGATGGAAAGAGCCCTAATTACCGTAATATACAACAGGAAAAGGTATAAAGCAGTGATTCTTAACCAGTGTAACCTCGGGACCCACATATTTCATTAAGGCGTGACCCAAAAATGATTTCATTTCTGAAACATTTAAATTTATTACACAAAACAAAGGGAAAGCTTTCCATGGGACACGTGTTGCAATGACGGCCAAGAGTGTGGTTTTGGTCATGGAAAGAGCCCTAAAGCTGGTAGATTTCGGAACGATCTGTCGGAAAGATTTTTCTATACTACCGATCATGCCATCAGACGCTTGGCGAATGTCGATCGAAAAATTTTGTTTGATTTTAACATTAGATTTTGGAATGAGTGGAGTTTCCAGAACAAAAACCACATTCACTGTTAGAATTTTGTTTGTGCGAGAAAAGTTTTCCATCCTGCTTCTTCCAGTTTTTTCATCACTATCATCAAAATCAGTCGTCAATTTGACCCCATCAACCAATAGAAAGTCGTTTACAAAAATCTAAAGCAGTTTATGGCCAGCTTTGGTGAGATGAAAGCAGGCAAATTCCATCCTCTCCCACCCCTGGGACCTCAAGTATTTTCTACTATATTCAGCCTGGATAGAATGTCCTGCTGTGACTAGTATGCAGGGCATGCATGCTATATTAAACATCTGATATCTACATGCTGAGCACCACACAGCCATCACATGAGTCAGCCTGCGTAGTCCGTCTCCATACACACTATGCAGGATAACATTACACAGACTGCTCATCCCATTGCCATCTACCACGTCTCAAGAGAGGGAATCATTGTGTGCGGCCTCCGGGGAATGTTGGTGAAGAGTCCCATCTCACTGCACTGGGAGTGTGTGTCCTTATAGCCCTGCTCCTATTCCCTCTCAGTCTGGCTACCAGATGCTGGCTCATAGCTGCCGCATGGTCCCAATTACAAAGAACAATCTCTGATGTAAGACAACCTTCTCTGGAAATGTCTGGCTTTTCCTGTGCTGACACAGATCCCCTTACACTGTTTGACTTGAAATGGTTGAAGACACCGAGGCGATCCTACTTGAGCTCTCGAGAATAAAATCGGCAGTATGAGATCAGTCAGACTTTGCTCAGATGGTGCACGATCAGAGACTGCCACCTCCACTGACACATGAAAACGGTATACACACAATGTGGGGACCGATATTCTTTAATAGGAGGAGAATGTCCCATCCGGTAACACTGCTGCCCCATTCACACTTGACTGAGTGGGTTTTTTTGAGCATTTGCACAGTCGTGGTTGCAAACATTTCAGACTTGAGCGTTTTATTTCTATTCAACGCAAAGCTAGTTAATAAGAAAACAAAAAAACCTTGAAAAATGCGCATTTTCCCGGCACTCCCATTAAAGTCTATTGGGGCCAAAAAACTTAACCCGGCTCCAAAAGAAGCTTATGTACTTTTTTTTTACGCAAGCAGCTCAGATGTGAACAGGGATCACTGAAAACAATGGGATTCTTCCTGTTGAGTGTTGTAGTACTTAGGTATTCTAGCTACAAAACGCTCGGGTCTGAATGGGCCTCCATGTAACTATTAGACCATTTATGGACACCCCAAGATTGGACTACAATATAAACTTGGGCAGATGATATTTAATAGATGTAATATATAATAATTTGGCAAAGATGAGGGCTTTTAAGGGATCAGAAACTCCACTGATACAGCACATAAAATATTATGACAATATTGCATTTTTTTGACTATATAGGGTCTTTGGATAAGTTATCAATATTGTTGGTATCTTTATAAGGGAGGTCCTGATTGTATGCCACAATATGAAGGAAGGATCAGTTGTAGGTTTTTATTATGCACAATCACATTTTCTTTTATAGTGTTGTATAAAATAAAGACATCATCTTAACCTACTTTTGTGCTACATCAGTGGTGCTTCCGATACCTTAAAAGCACTTATCTTTGCTGCATTATTATACATTTCCTCTTTGGGTGCGGTATCGCCTCTGCTCCATATTCATCCCCAAATTCGATATATAGAATTTAACAGATGTAACCAATTGTGTAGATCACAATCGGGATGTTTGGCATCTCTGCTAAAATTCTGTATTATATGGTGACAATGGAAACAGTCAGCAACCACCGAATACTGAGATAGTCCGTAGGAAGCTGGGCCCGGCCAACCAATACTGACAACATGGGGGGAGACGTGTGAGAAGAACACAGGTTCACCCACTGACCTGCTTTTACACAGACTGACCCATATGGGCATCATTCAATAAATACAGAGGTGGGGCACGTATAAGCTGAAACCCCAAAGGGGTCTCCTAAATGAGAATTTGGTCTTCCCAGACTACCAAGGAGGCCAGCACATGATCCAGCTTTTGCACAGGCCGTACCCGACACCTGTGATGACTGGTTGAGGACGGGCAGGGAAGAGTTTTCTACGACTGATAACAAGCAATTTCGACCACCA